ATAAAAAACCATTTTTGAAAAGTTTCTTGAATTGAAGCCAAATATTTGTTATAATCCCTACAATCACAGTAATATATATGCCTCTTGTTGAGTAAATGCAAACGCATTTTTAATTTTTTTATGCTTAACTGTGCGCCTTGAGATAAATTGCTGCTCTAGTTATTGTTGCTTAGCTGATATATGTATGTACTTTTGTTCTGAATATATAAGTTTATATCTATCTAGATTAAATCAAAAGCAATCAAATTATCAGCAACATAATTTTTTCGTGTAATTTTACGTGTTTTGTGTCTACATGCCTATCTGCATGAGCAACACTCCACAGCTCGTTGACTTTATAAGCGATGGCGTTCAATGGTCAAACAAGATATGACACATTTTGTTGTTAATATTGTTGACAAGTTCAACTTATACTTGTATGTTAATTATATTATCAAGATTATGCGCTCTGTTGGACAATTTTTCATAACAGACTGAGGGAACCTTTGAATATAAAAGTACATCTCTTGAATATGGGCCAAAAAAAACCATTTGTGATGTTATATTTTGCAAATATTACAGAGAATATTAAATATATGAACTACAAAAACGTATTGGCCATCAACTCTTTATTTTATGTATCACTAAATATAAGTTTTAATTCCTTAAAGTAGCTTTGGATTTGTTTTTGTAACTCGAAACAAAAAAGCATGCGATTTTCGTGCATTTTTATTTTTATATTATTTACTGTGCGATCCATTCATAATCTTAAAAGGAAATTAGATTAGATTAGATTAGATAACATAAGTTACTTAGTCCTTAAGCGGTACAAAGGTTTCACAACGTCAAAAAGTCGAATAATTCCTTGTTATTAATTTCTACAACAGTTTGAGAATTTTAAATCCTCACCTCGATCCGAATAAAACTGTCAGCGCTTCTTTATTACGAAACTTTATTTTCAACGTAAGCTGTTAGGAGTTCTCCGAAACTACTTAACCAACCTTGAGGCCACTTTACACAGGTTGTCGAGATACAATATTGAGGAATTGGATGATGAACGAGATGAGCATAACAACAATTTTATGATTCTAGAGAAAAATTTTAGGGCTAATTTGTGATGATTAACGCCATGTAATAGTTGTTGTATGTAGAGCGCAACATTTGAAAGCTTAACCAAAAGGAGAGGAATAAAATATGCAGGCAACCAGAATCTTCATTTTTCCACTTTTTTGTGGCTCTAATGATCGGTGCAAGTGGAACGGGAGATAAACCTACTTTAATTATTTTTGCTTTTCATTTTTTACCAAAATCAAGGAAAATATATTCAATGGGTAGTTTTTTGGTCTCATCTTCTATTTCAAACAAAAAATTATGTTCCATCCCCGAAATTATGGCCAGTTTTCGCTAAGACAATATTTTTTCTCAAAACAAAAAAAAAATACAACTCCAACCTTCACCTCAAACCCGAATTTCAATGACGTATTAGCTAGAGCTTAAATTAATTACTCAGCGCATGTTTTCAGCAATCACAGACCAAAAAGCAGCAAATTATCAAAAACATTGCACTTACGCCAAGAATTTACAACAAAATTTGCATAAATCAAGAAGAAACAAAAAAAGGTAAAAACAAAAAACGAAACAAGCTCCACTTCGAGACATTGCTAATTGTTAAGCGTATGAGTGTATGAGATTTATGTGCAACACGCTGCCAGAACTGCCACAACTGCCACAGCTGCCACATAAATTCCCACCCTTCAAAGAGGAAGTGCAATAAGCGCAGAAAAAAATCTACATAAATAAATACAAACAGTTATCGTTTCAATATTCGTAAGAGTTAAAGAAGAGGAAAAAATGGCAGAGCAAGCTCCAACACCCATCATAAAAACCAAACAGACCAACAGCAGATAGAAATCGGCAAAGTACTTGGCCAACAAAAAAACGGTCATTTATCCTTCCGTCAGCGTTCAATAAAAAGTCAATAAATTATGTAGCGTCATTAGAAAAACGAAAAGTAAACAAAAGCTATGAAGATGAGCTTAAGAAAAGCAAGAAACAAAAAATTGCTTAAGAAGAAAAAAATCGAATGAAGCCAGTCAAATTTGTATTGAACTGCGCCGAGGCGAGCAGCTGGTTAACATGACTCTGAGCTCTTCGGCAGACAAGCTTTTTTTATTGTCTGTTTTTATTGTTTTTTTTTGGCTTACGGCAAAAGCTGATTCGCAAAACAGTAGCACAAGCAGCTAAAAATTAATTACCCTTTTATAAGTAGCGCATGCGCCAAATGCAACAACAAAACCAATTGTTTGTGGAAGTCTGTGCACTGTAGGAAATTTGTACAAGTCTTGTTTACCTTTATTAATGTGTTTTGAGAAAAGTTGTTTTTAGAGATATAATAGTAGATATTACTGGTTTAAAGCCCAGTGGTCTTGAACTAGTCCCTAACATCTAGCAGTCTAGAATACGAGTTTTGACGCAGAATCATATGGTACACTGCTGCAGCGATTTTTTCGGCCCAGCTCCTCCTCCAATTTGTGGGTTTGCGTCTTAATGTTTTTCCAAGAAAATGGAGGGACCTACAGTTTATACTTAGCCGCCTCCGAACGACCTTCCGAATGTCAGCACGCAAGCTCATACGAGCGCATTAATGTGTAAAAATAAAGAATTATTGTAAAGGCGCTGAAGCGTCGAAGAGGTTGCAAAATTGAACTTGTTTCTATCAATCAATAATCGAGTAGTTACAAACAATAAAACCTAAAATCAAAGGAAAGTGATGTGTACTTGGACTTTCACCGATGATTAAGAGTAGCATCTTAATGTCAGCGCTCCATACTGCTTCCTGCACTCGGCCAGGAGTATCATGTATGTAGAAGCTACCCACATGTGATGTACTTTCACTGGTGCTCCGCCTTCAAATTAGCTCCAGGCCACAGTTACCCCACTTGAATACGAGCTTTACACAATCTAGTTAGTGTTCGCCTCCTAGAACTGGCGTTGTGTCCAGTTATTTTTGTGAAATACCCGTATGGTATCTGAACAGCCTGATAAAAATAGGCTTCCGGACATTTCCATCCTGTCGGTGACCTTAGTGTTCAGTTTTCTCTCCCCTAATTTTACTAAAGAGTCTTGCTATCTTACGGAAGGAGTCTTATGATGGCTGTTAGAGGATTCATCACACTTACAGTGTTCTTCTGTACCTTAGAGGTTGGTTTCTTCGCGAATGCAGAGCTGTTTGCTGACGAACTTTTTTAATAACGATGTATTTCTTTGCCCTTCTGATCTTGCCTCGGCACAATCTTAGGATTTGCAGAGCTATTCCTGTATGTCCTGACAGAAGGTTAGGCTCTCTCCGGAACATTAGTACCAGAGGCACTTTTATCTGGGTAACTTGCTTATATTGTTGCAGCACTTTGCAGCATTACACATAGTGTGTATATTTGGGACTTTCCGAAGTAGGTTTGACGCTGCAAACCTTCGCCTGTGACGTTTTGCCATACGAGACCCGCCCAAGAAGAAAGGTCTTTTTGACAGCTTCTTTCCTCTAAGAGTGTAGTTTTCGGAATCCGAAGGCCAAAGATATTGGCATAACAAAGTCACGTCTTGAAAGATAAGATTCCATACCGCAAACTAACGGTCGCGATGGTAGTAAGACTTAAGGCTGTGCCGTCAGTGCGCTGTTTTCGAGCTATGTTGCGCAATCCTGCCACAGCTTGATACTGGTGATATATTTTGAGAAGAGTTATGAAAAAATGTAATTCTTTAATTGAAAACCATTTTAGCAAGACTCGATTATGGTCGACCTAATAGCTTTGAAAACACCTCTGTTCGTTTAGAGTATTTAAGGAGGCCCTTGGGCTCCCCCTTCTATGGGCCTACAGCTTTTTTTCTGCAAGTAGTTTCAATCCCTACTTGTCAAACACCGGTTGCTCACAAATTACCCGCTCTCTTCTCCTCGCAAATTTCTTGCTATTCTTTCATTTTTAGTCCCCAACCATTCCTTATTGAAAGGCATATTACGCCACGTCAACAGCCAAACGAAAACCATACTCTTGATCGCTTTGCTACCAAAAAGAACTTAATCTTACTAAGTAAGTAATTGTATTTTGCACATAATCTTCAGAGAGAGAGAGGATTTCTTGTTCAATATTCTTCTCACCTAATGGCACTTGTAATTACAGAAATAAGACCTGTACGGAAAGGAATCCCTCTTTAGCAGCTCATCCGTTCCCTCAGTGCTCATGTGTCTTGCTATTCAATAGTGCTGAACTTTCTTTTTCCTGTAAGTCTTCTGGTTGACTGCTTACATATTAGAACCACTGCTAATTTCGTGCCGTACCTCCTTGTTTCTGTAAAAAAAAGTAGAACTTTTCAAATATTTATATATATTTCTACGAATATTTCCTACCGAGTCTCTCTGCATATCAAGTAAAGCACCACCGGGCCACAGACTCCACTTAAAGAAAGATACAGCTGCCGCGATAAACTGATGCAGTTACATTATCTCGAATGCACACGAGCTAATCTACAAAGAAAATTCTTGCAATTTGTTCTGCTTAATAACAATAGTTGTTGTTGCTTTTGTTATATCAATTTATGTACGCTTGTTAGCCTAGTATTTGTACGAGTACAGGAAGCGTAAATGCTTCTACAAATACCATATTACCATCGCCCACCCCACCTGTTGCTAACGCTGACTTGACTAACTTGACCTAACCCATAGCCAACAGACACTCAACAGATAGCGCGCTTCTGGCAAGTCAGAGGGCACACAAACTGCCTGTTGTCTACCCCAGAGCTAATGTTTAGGACGGCAAGACGCACCGGTATGTGTGTATGTATGTAGCTCATAGGCATAAATAAGCTTAATCGCGTAAAAATGCATGGCTACCCCTTCTCAGCGCGGTTCTGCTGTGCATTCTATGATTATTGAGACTTTTCACTTCATACGCCCGCGCTGGTATTTCTATAAATACAAAGCGTTGTTGCCAGTGGAAATTAGTTAGTCGCGGCCTTTAAGGGATTACTTGTGTGCTAAGCTCTGAACATAGATACTCTACTCTAAGCACTTAATCAGCATTGAAGACGTCATTGTTAACGTTGCTGATATAAGTATCTACCGAAAGTTGAGTGAAAATTCTCATCACAAATAAAGTTTGCTGGAAAGCCTGGAAATTATTTCCATTCACTAAAATGTTTACGAAATCGAAAGTCGTTTCAGCGCATTACAAACGTTGATGGGAAATTGAATTGTCACATTGTGTTTTCTGTTGTCATTTGATTGTTACCTATTATTGTTGCGGCAATCTGTTACAAGTACAACAAGTGTATGGAAAAATAGTTCCGGTTTGGTGGCAAGTGTTTTTCTAACTTCAAATGGATAAATCGAATTTCCGGGTAAATATGAATTATTTCATCAATAGACATTTTGAAAAGAAAATTGATTCCGGTGATTAAGTTTTATTCTGTTAGTCCTAATGATAATCAAAACGGCATCAGGATGAAGAATCAACAAATAGGGAAATAGTTGACAGATATGCCAGTTGTGAAGTCACAAAGTTAGGTCCAATAAGAATAGTTCATTATATTTTTAAGTGAAGGTTTTCCCCTCTGGAAAAAATTTGACAAAATCGATTTTACAGGCTTCTCTTGAGCTCAATCGTTGAATTGAACTTTCAGTTGGACGCATAAGAATCTCCACTATTTTTGGGTAAAGATCGAGCTTCTGGAAGATTTCTTCCTTCAGATAGTCCAATTGCTGATAGTAATGGTTGATTTTTTAATACCGTTAGAAAGTTTTTGAAAAGAAGCACTTAAAATTCAGAGAAAAGCATGAAATCTTAATTTGAATCGATAGTACCGTCCATATAATTTAAAGTTTGAAGATTTTTCCATGCAAATGTTGACCGTGACTGCGCCTCAAATGGACCATCCGCTTAGTCCGATTTTAGTATACTCTTTCCAACATTTCTGCCGATATCTCACGAATAAATGCTTCAATGTTGTCCTCAAATGCGTCAGTTGAGGCGGGCTTGTCTTTGTAGACCTAAGATTTAACATGGCCCCACAAAAAACAGTCTAAAGTCGTCGTTAAATTGCACGATCTAGGCGGCCAATTGACCGGTCCCGAACACGAAATAAAATGTTCACCGAACTTACCTCCCAATTAGACCATTGTTACACGTGCTGTGTGGCATGAGGCACCATCTTGTTGAAACTCACAGTTACGTTACGATTCGCATCATCTTTAAAGAATTACGGTCCAATGATACCACCAGCCCATAAACCGCACCAAACTGTGATTTTTTCTATGCATTGGTAGCTCTTGCTCACTTCGGCCTGATTTTCACTTAAAAATGGACAATTCTGCTTATTTACGCACCCATTAAGTCAAAAATGGACTTCGAGGCGCGCGCGGAAGAAACCCGCGATGGACTTTCTTAACAGAGAATGCATTTTGATAATTGAATTCAATAATTTGCATGCGTTGTGCGTTTGTAAGACGATTCCCGGTTAAGTTCCTGACTTGGAGACCGTCTTTGCCTATTACGACTACGACCGTTTTCATTGGACGTTGCTGTAAATTATCCACTTATATCACCAGTCACCATCCGCTTCAGAAATGGGTGGGATTTGTTTCGATTCAGTAGAGGTTTTTTCTTATTGACTCATGTGGCCTCCATACATCGAGCTTCCTTGATTATCTAGTCTATTTCAAGTGATTTCGAACTGTTGTGCAAAGTCTAGTTCCTGGAAAAACGATGCACTGCTCGCGTGATAGTCAGACTCAACGATTTCTATAATTTTATCGACATTTTGACAATAAAAATAGTAGTATCAGCAACGTAAAAACTTTCACAAACATTTTCAGCTGCCTGACTTGAGTCTTCGCCTTTATCTTATATTGTAAAATACAGCGTTTTTTTTGCTGATATATATGTTTGATGAAAAATTGTGGATAAATTATAGATTTATTATATTATTGACCGTTTTATATTTTTAAAGTAACCCTACTAAGCTGTGGCAGTGCTGGCCACCCACACAGAAACCTTACAGAAAAGTATAGATCTTACTACCGTTGTGAAGAAAAAACTGCTTTAAGCCGCATTGCTGCGCTAGCTTTCGTCGACCTTTTCACCGTGTCGCGGTCCTAGTTGAGCATGTTATCTAACTATTCTGAGACATTTAACTTCAGCTTGGGTGATTTAAATCATCTTGTGAATAGAACCATTTTGGTTTTCACTGGTTCGATATCTAGCCCATACTCCATGTACCTGTGCCAGCTTCTTACTATATTTAGGGCATTTGGGAGTACATTATTTAAGACTTTTGGGTACTTTCCTGTCACTCGCAATATCACCGACGAATGTTACCAAGTCACCGCCGGTGTTATCTAGTTGCCGAATCAGCGTGTTCACTTTGAGGCACCATACTAGTGAAGATAAGGCTCCCCACTGAGAGGCACCTACTGTGGTATATCTTCTGGTATATCTTGCGTGACAGTAGCTTAGCTCACCTGATTATATGAAGATGGACTTTTATAAAACTTAAATTAGTAAATAGATACGAAACCATAAAGTAGAGCTCGCAATTCGACCGATTATTTAAAGGTTTTAAAATTTTTATATCATCCACGCACTTTTAATACCTTTGAACCCACATGAATTACTACAGTATTTAGCTTTTATTAATGCCACTTGACTTTTACTTTGATTGCTTACAGCTTTTAGCTGGCTTAGTGCTGTCGCTCAGCTTGTCGCAGCATACATGTCGCTGTCAAACGAACACGCTCTTCAATCAATCACCCTTTCAGCGAACGCAGCAAACGCAATTCCGACAGCAATTGCAACAGCAGCAACAGCAACAACAACAACGCCAGCAGCAACAACAAGGTTTTCCAAACAACCTGAATACACTGCAACCGCTGGGCACAACACTGGGCGGTATAGCACCCATCTCACCGCTAACGAATCTGGGACAACAGGTAATTCGCACAAATAAATTTCAATTAACAAAGTTTTATTGCCAAACCAAAAACTTTCAGAATCCGTTTCGCATCTACAATCGTCTCGACCAGCCGAACTATGTGCCCATTACCGCCTATCAGAACGATCTCAATTACGACGGAAGCTTTTCCTACGGCTACGCCTCAGCAGATGGCACTACGGCGCAGGCGCAGGGGTATGTAAAGAATTTGGGCTTAGGCGAAGATGTCGAGGCGCAGGTGGTGCAAGGTTCATACTCGTACACCTCGCCAGAGGGCACGCCAATCACCGTTAGGTATATAGCTGATGAAAATGGTAAGTGAACTATTGAAACTCTTTTCCGAGTTTAATTTTGTCTGTCTTTATTCAAGGCTTTCGCGCTGAGGGCGCACATATACCCACACCACCGCCCATACCCGACGCCATAGCCAAATCATTGCAGTACATAGCGAGCGTACAGCCGTATCAACAAGGCGGCGTCAATCCCAATTTGAATCCCTATCAGACACCCTTTCGTCAATTTGCCAGCGGTCAACCGCTGAGACCGGGCCAACAGCAGCAACTGACACCTTTTCAACTACAACAACAACGCACGTATCAACAACAATTAGCCGGCCAATTGCAGCCGCCATTTCCACAATTTTCTGGTGCTCAACAACCGCAGACGAATGCATTTTTTGGTGGCGCTGGCGTCGGGGGCATCGGCGCTGGTTTCGGCGGTCAAGGTCAGTTTCCGGGTCAGTTTGGTGATTTGAGTGGTCAAAATTTTACACAACAATCGCAGAGCTTGCAACAGGATCAGCAGCAACAAGGTTTGCAGCAGCAACAACAACAGAAGCATCATCAACAACAACAACAGCAACAGCAGCAACAGCAGCAGCAACAACAATTGGCGACTCAAGAGCTGCGTGCGCGTCCCAACCAATTGGTGAGTCCTTTCGGCTACAATCAATATCGCCGCTACAAGAAGGCAGTGGAAGTGAAAAATTAATTATCACACAACAACAACAAAACCAGCAAGCATTATCACATAAACTATTATTAAGTTATTATCTGCAATTCGATTCACTGCATGTAATTTTTTGTTTGAATTTTCTATTTTTTTGCATAATTATCTACTTTTCTAAGCGTTTTAGTCTTAAGTGAGGCAAAACCTGTATTTATCTGCTAAAATGGGTTCTAATTAATTTACTTTTGTATACTGTATTACTAGATACCAGTTTTGAAATCGAATGAAATAGTCATTTTTAGTAATTCAAATACATGCAACACATGTGCGTAAAAAATCCAAAAAAAATACTGTTATTTTAATTCTTAATCCAAAAGTTAACAGTGCATTGTAACAACAAGCGAAAGGGCTCCTGTTGAATTCAATTGAATTATTTTTTTATTAAGATTTGCCATAAGACGAGATGTATTCGTGCATGTTGAGTGATACAAACCAGTATTGTAATTTAAATTACAAAAATTCTATATTTCGCCTTTCGTAGTTCCGATTTGTGGTAGAGAAAATCTGACAATATTTTTCATATAGGAATTTTCGCCTTTAGTCTACGACAGAAATAACTGTAAGGCTGATTCTATCTATCGGTCTTAATATTATATCTACCAGGGTATATTAACGTTGGTCCGAAGTATATAAATTCCATAAAGAGAAGAAATACACCCATCAAAATTTATACTTACATATATGATCATAATGACAAACTGAGTTCTTCTGTATGTCCTTCCGCATTCTGTACGTCTGTAGGTTTAAACGCAAACTAACTTTTGAGCTTTATTATTACTTATTTTCACTTGAACAAAACTTCCATGCGGGTAAAAATACTTATTGCTAAATAAAATTCAACTAATTTAAATTTTTACACCAACAAGTTCATCTTCCATCTATGTTCCATGTAAGCAACTGATACTGCTAACACGGCAATACCCTAAGAACTGTCAGTTATCATGGGAAATTGATTAGGGACCAACTCATATTAAAAAGAACGCACTTATGGTTCACTTTAATTAAATTTTGGTACGTTCTTACCAATTGGAAAAAAATGTAAAAAACCACTAAAATTATTGGTTGTTGTTTTAGAAAAGTCTAATAATATGTGGTCGGTGCTTCTAGTTAATTATGAGTTCTGATTATGAATTTGTCCGCAAAATACTAGTATTATTCTAGTCTATGGGAAACTAGTATATTTTTGTCCTTTAAATACTATTGTAATTCCAGTTTACAACAAACTATACAACCGATTTATCTACATAGTATATATAAGTTTTGGATCAAAAATCCATCAAAAAAGCATCAATGAGCGTTTGGTTCCCATACAAGTTTAATAAAATAAATATCCACTTAGAAACTTACGAAATCTATCAGCAACAAATTTTGCAAAACTAATATTCGATCCTAAATTACAATAGAAACATTTATTATGCGGATAAAAGGTATGATTTCTTTAATTTTTTCATTAACTTTGAGATCTAAGTTTTGAAATTTCATGCTTGAACAATCAGCTGCATGGAAGCTTTTTGCTATTGTATAATCGTCCGATCTTTATGATTTTTTTTTTTTGACCATTACAAAATGTTTGGCGCGGAAGAAGAATGATCGCTTTTCTTTAATGTTCAATTGTGGCAAATATGCTAGTAAATTAAATCTAAAAACAATTTTTTGGGAGCTCAATGCTATAATTTTCTCACCTTAAATGTGCCCATAAATGCAAAGAAACGAACCGATAAACAGATAGACGACTTTGTTTGCTCTGATCTTGGATATAAATGTTGATACAGGCAGATCTACTCAAGCATTACCAGTTGATTATCACAATATTTGAGAGACTGGATCGGTTACAGCATTGAAACTTTTTTCATTTCACCTCAAATATCGATACTGTAAGTAAAGACCCGAATGTGTTTATTTATCGACGATCTCAGAAGCTTGAAAACCAATATTCCTCAAGTTATGGCTAAGATACCATCCAAACGTATCGAAGTTTGCAAAAATTCGCGAGACGACCATTTGAGGGATGTAGTATTTCACATACTCGTATATTGCTCAAATTTATAATAAATAAAAACAACTCAATTGAAAAAATTATTTAAATGTAATTTATTTACGTTTAGCCCAATTTGAGCTGGGATGCAAGGGATGTTTAATAATGTTTCTGGGGCTTGTATATTAAAAGAGACTTCTCATTATGGCTTTCGCTATTCGGTGATATTAATACTATTTTACAATATAAGAAAACATTGTCAGTTCACATGGATAATTAATCATGCGACTATTTTAAGTAGATTTCATCAATTCCATTTTATCATTTCAATATTTACTCTCAAACTCAAACGTCTTTGTTGTGCAAATGTTCAACATCGTTTTTGAAGGGTTAAATAGCAAGTTGAGCTTTTAACAGCCAAACTATGTGTATGTGTAAATTCGAAACCTGGATTGTAGCATATTTTTAGGCTAGCTATAGCAAGCCGTCAAGTGAGTAATCCATAAACAATAAATAAAATAAAAATTGTTTTTAGTCGATTTTAGTTTAATTGTTAAAATAATTCGATACTTCATTCCAATGATATTTAAAGTTAAGGACGGTTTCATTAAATGAAATATAATTCAAAATTATATAAAAAATTTGCTCTACTGAGTACTATTACAATATTGTGTTTTTTGTTTGACCTTGGTAAAGTACATGCCAATTTATTTAGAAATGTGTTAGCGCAAAAAAAGGAGATATCAATAGGAGGGAGTTCAAACCCTTGTACTTTTTCTCTCTTTCTTGAACTTACTTAAAGAAAGTTTTATTTTATGTATCAAATAAAGTTTTCCATAACTCAATTCGGTTATATGTATTTTTGTGTGTAGTAATGTGAATCAATGCTCGTTAATTCTACGTAAATAGACGGCGCCATACAAAAGGTTTCAAGACCGTAGCGAACTGTTGTATGACTCAGATTATACTGAATTTAGGGAGGGTACACTTTTCCAGCCTGATAAATAGCAGTGAAAATAGAACACAAGGATGCGAGCTTGATTTCCCAATTGATGACCATGGAACATATGATTAGTTGCCTGACTAAACTCGATTCGAATAGCGATTGCCTGCCTAAAGAACATCAAAGCGGCAGAGCTATTTAAACATGAAAGCTGTCAAGCTGCATGCATCAGCTGCCTTGCTGAATATGGTCGGACGAAAGCATGTCCTACGATTGGAATAAGTGTGAGCTCTGCTCCATCCATAAAAAAGGTGAGCCCACAGCCTGCACCAATTACCATGTGATAAGCCTCCTCAATACCGCATGTAAGGTTCTATAGGGTATACTGTGTGAAAGACTCAATCCCACCGTCAAAAACTTGATAGCATCTTATATGTGTGCCTTTACACCTAGTAAATTTACCCTTAATCAGATATTCTTCATGCGGAAAATCCTGGATAAGACCCTTGGGAAAAGGATCGATACACATCATCTTTTCATCGATTTTGAAGTAGCTTTCGACAGCACAGTAAAAGTAGAAATAGTGGCATAGAATTTCTGAATTTGGTATCCCTGCGAATCTTAATACAGCTATGTAAACGGACGCTGGACTACACCATAAGCGTAGTCAGAAATGGGAAGGACCTTTCCGAGCCATTCGGTACCAAACGCGTTGTTTTAGCCAGTTAACTCTTTATCGTGGGATTTTTTCAATTTGTTAGTGGAGAAAATAATAAGAGCTACAGAGCTAAATAGATAAGGCACAATTTTTATAAAAGTCTACAACTACTGGCATGACCAGACTTGAGAGAGAAGCAAAGCGAATGAGTCTGATAGTGAGGAAGATAAGATGGACTTCAAAGTTGCCTATCTTGTGGCCAGCATTAATTGATATCAATAGTAACATCAGCCTTTAAATCCAACGCAGAATTGCAAGGAAGTTGGTTTCACTTGGTATTTCCAACTGTCGCCAAACAATGAATGGAAGAGATAAAAGTCGCAATTCGGGTACAATCGCATAAGTGGTGCTCCGTCAAAAAAGAAGAAGACGAATATTCATCACTCTACAAGCAATTTATGTATATATTTTTTTTTAAACGAAATTCATTTATTACTGCGTAAATTAACATAAGTCTTCTTGTAAGTATACAAATCTTAAATCTTAACTAAAATCGTGTTAACTGGACAGCAGGTGAACTGCCACAGTCGGCGAAAGAAATAAAAAACGATTTAACCCCTTCCGCCAGAAATTTATTCTGTTTGTCAACATTTCTGAACAATATAATAATAAATTAATAAATTAATTGTCTCCCAAATATCATTCTTCTGTAAATAATTTGTCAGTCTCTGGTAGCTAACAGCGAACTAGCGGTGAAATAGTCTGCGACTAATATCGTATAGAGGTGAATAGCTCTCTTAGCGATCCCGTAGATGGAACAAATGGCCATCGGCACGTCCCGGTCTTTCTCAATATACGTTCTCTGATGCAAGTTCCTCAAGCAAACTTCTGGATTGTTTTGAGGTAAAGACAGATATGACTCAGGCTTATTGGATAGGCAAGCTTTTATAATTTTTGTGTAATAAAATACTTTTCTTATTTTATTAGCGAGTTGGTTCGCCTGTTCTAAAGTACCATGTTTCTCACGAAAACCTGTTGGTGTTCCAGTATAATTTTGAACCGTTGGAGGAAAGGATATCTTAGATACCGAGTAACAAAGTATTAGTCTAACGAGATTGATTGGTTTTTTTTTGTTACTTGGTGTAATTCATATCAAATATTTTTTTGTTTCGTCATTTTCCTCTCTAAGAGTGTGATTTTTTTTTTAATTTATATGGTGCTCCAAGGGTTCTCCCTCTTCTAGGCATGCTCTGCACTAGGCGTGTTCAACCTTACCATTATTTTAAATATCAGATCTGAGAAATAGACGCCAAGACAACTTGTTTGTTGGGAGATAACAGCTTTCCCTACTAACGAACCATTAATGTTCTTACCGCCACTTATACTCTGCTCGCTAAAGAGAGTACAATGCAGTACGAGCTCACACAATTTCATCAGCTGTTGAGAGGTTCCTTCATTCGTTGGAAAAAACATTAATAGGCACATCACAAATTGGAGAATGATCTCAACCGAATATCACTTCAGTGGTTAGAAACTGCCAATTATATACATATATATGTATATGCCAACATGTTTCTAAGATTTAGAAGACTGTGCTCAATTGTCTTGAACTCTTACGCGCTTAGCAATAAGTGCTTCTCCATATGTCAATCATAACGCCCAGGAGTTTAAGGAGTCATCATTGCATC